GAGCATTTCGCGGTCGTGTATCGGGTAATTTTTCTCGGGCGGATGCAGTTTTCGTGACTCGTATGCGATGGGCTTTAATCTGTCGCCGAAGTCCTATAGCAGTGCGGCTCCGATGGCGATGTCACTTGCTTCGGTGACCAATTTGAATGGGCGGTGTGGGTCGGCGATGCGCAGTACGCGCGGTGAACATATAACATTTTTCAGGGTAGAGAAGGCAACATGCTCTTTATCCCCCCACATAAAAACGACCCCCTTCCGCAGCAGATCCGTCAGTGGGGCAGTTAACCGTGCCATGTCGGGGACAAACCGACGCACATAATTAACGAACCCAAAAAAACTCTGCAGCTCCGTGATATTTGTCGGGGGGTGCCACGCTTTTACCGTGCCCAACTTCTTTGGTTCGATCTCAACTCCAGCCTCCGAAATAACGTACCCCATAAATTCTAACCTGTCCTGAAAAAACTCGCACTTGGACCCCTAAGTCAGTAGTCGGTGCTCGTCTAAAACTTTGAACACTGCTTCCGGATCTGCTAAGTGCTGCCGCTTGTCGCGACTGTAGACCAGGATGTTGTCGAGGTAAACTATCACCCATTTATCTAAAAGTGGCCTAAACGCCCCGTTCATGGTCATCTGAAATGTCGTTGGTGCGTTGGTCAGCCCAAATGGCATCACGATGTACTTGAATGACCCGTATCTAGTTCTAAATGTTTTCTTGGCACAGTCCGATGGTTTGACTCTAATTTGGTGGTAACCTCCCTGCAGGTCGATTTTTTATAAAACACTTGTTGTTTGTAATTTATCTATCAGTTCGTCGGCGCGGGGAATGGGGTATCGCGACTTGAATGTAACACTGTTCAATGCGCGGTAGTCAATACACATGCAAAATTGTCCGTCTTTTTTCGGTGAGAACAGTATCGGTGCAGCGAACGGGGACGAGCTCGGTCAGGTAAACTGTTTCTCCAATAGGTAATGTAGTTGCTTCCTCAGTTCTTTAAGTTCGGGTTGTGTCAATTTGAAGTGTCGCTGTACGGTTGGTTGTGGCCCCGGTTCTAACTCTATGCAGTGGTTGTGTACTCGCTGAGGTTGCAGTCCCTCCGGGAGATCGTATGGGAAAATCCCCGGGTACCATTTCAGTAGTTCATGTAGTTCGGGCAGTACGGCTGCCAACAGTTTCTGAAAATCACTCGATTGCTCCGTTCCTCCTACTACCGTGATGTCCACTGCGTGCACGTCATCTCCAGAGGCGACAGCCCGTTTCATCGTGATGGCGTTGACGTGGACTGTTGAAGACTTAGGCAACCACCAGCGAGGTAGTTCGGCCTAGTTACCACCACTTCGCATAGTGCAGCTACCTGTCGTCCAGTCAATTCTCGGGTTGTATCGTCGCAGCCAATCACGTCCTTGTAAAATGTCGTGCCCATCAAGCGTCGTTGCACGCAGCGAAATTCCCTTCGCAATAAACCTTCACTCTCTCCACTTTCTCCCGTATAGCCACTGGCGTGCCGTCAACTAAATGTGCACCGATCTCCGTCAAGCAGCGGCTAAGTGTCAGTTGCAGTTTCAGTGCCGTCGCGGTATTAACTAAACTGTGACTTGGGCAATCTGCTACCCCCTGTATCTTCCCGTGAATCGGCATTGGGCAATCTGTCGTTGTACCCTCCTTATTCAGCTGAGCCCGATCGATTGCGTGAATCGGTACTGTGACTCAGTGAGGGTCGATGAGGTCGGGCGAGCAGTGAGTCTTGTTAGTAGTGGGCCCGTACTCTACTGACCGTTGGCGTTTCCCTGCCTCCCATACTCCCTCCCCTGGTCTGCTCCACGGCGCCTAAGCTCCTCTAGGCATTCGCTTTTGCGATGGCCCGGCCTATTGCACGCGAAGTAGCGCCCTTTAAACGGTGCGACAGCTGCATTCTTCGCAACAGCGTGTACAGTGGCGTGCTCGGTTGGTCCCCGAGGGCGATGTCCGTAATAGGACCCCGATCTCGAACGGCGTAGGATGTCGATTTTCTCCGCTAGCGCCAAGATTTTGTTGAAGTTCGAGATCCCGCGAAGAAAAATATATTGCGAGATTTCCGCCTTCTGGCCGCCGACGTAGCGATCCACTCGCTCTGATTCGTGCATGTAGCCGACTTCCTCACACAGCGCGAGAAAACCGCTGGTGTAGTCTTGAACCGACCCAAGCTGTTGCCAATTGCGCAGCTTCTGACGTGCTGAGATCGAGGCCACGATTGGCTCGAAGCACGTCCGAAGCCCTGCGCACCACGCGTCCCACGTGCTGTATTAGGCTGTCTCGCAGAATGAACTCCAGGTGACGGCTAGGCCCACGGGCCCTTCCTCTTGCGACAGTGGCTTGTAGGCACGCAGCGACGTAATGATGACTCGCCACCAGTCCATGGCGGGGCCCCGCAGCAACGATACGGCGTACCGGATCTTCGCTGCATTCGACGTGACGTAGTTCGCGTCGAAAAACACATTCATCGTGAACACCCACGATTGAACCGTTGGACCTCCACGCTGGCTAGGATCGAAGCAGGGCGGGCGATGCGGCTTGAGTGGCATCGGTTCACCAATGTCGTCGTTGCCGGCTGATGTTGTAAATCCGGCGTGACGACGAGCCTCGCGAGGTGCATTCACGCCCGTTGCGGTCCTGGCTCTCTCCATGCCCGGCATAGATTGGGCGGCGCCGTCGCTGGCTGCGTCTGAGCGCTGTCCCACGCTGTCGTGCTGCGACGGTGTGCCGGATGAGATGGTAATCGGTTCCTTCGATTGTGCAGGTGCATTGGCGGGTGTTGGTGCTGGTGCATTCATCGTTGGTTGCTGTCGGGCGGAGTCGCATTCTGCCATGAGCGTCGCGATTTCGAGCGTCGATTCCTCGAGCTGGCGCACAAGTTGGTTGAGGCGCTCTTGCGTCAATGTCGCGATGTTAAATTCAGCCATGGCGGGGGTGTCGGGCGAGCTCAGCGAGAGCCTCGGTCGTGGCTATGTATGCTTACGAGGAGGCACACGGGCAGTGGTGCTTGATCGCTGAGAGAAGTCTACCCCCTCCAAAATTTGAGATAGTGGGGAAGCGAAGGTGTGGGCGCGGTCCGAGAAGAGATCGTAGGCTATGAAACCCAAGTGTTACGAGTGCAATTGAGCGAGCGAGCGAGAATTGCACTATCGAAGCAAAACAGTACAATGAGCGAAGGAATGAGCGAACAATATATAGCAAAGCTATCGTGGTAATGGTAACGCGAGAAAATGGGGTGCGCTACGGGGCTAGCGCCGAGGTTGGGAAATGTCGAGGCGGAGGTCCGGAGCGCGGGTTACCAATCGAACCGTGAGGTTGGTTCGCGTCGTGAACAGTGGCGGGAACAGTGGTCGAGGCGAGTGTCACGAGCGGGTAACGTTTCACTGTTGGGTGCTGTTGGCGGGAACAGTCGTGTCCGCGGTAAGCAGGGGCGTGAAGTAAGGAAATGGAATCTTCCTTGCAATGCATATATTTGCAAAAGGTGATACTTATAATTTGAGTGTTGATTCCAGTTAGGTTCGCTGCTATTGGTGGTTGTTTGGGAATGTCAGAAGCAAATCGGCATGTAAAAAACGCGGCTCGACCTGTCTGTCCTCAACAATTTGGCGCGAACATGTGTAGCTCACCATTGTGACGGCGGCGCAGAAAACCTCCAAGGGACTGGTGAGTGGTGACTGGTCGCATGTGGTAACATCCAGCCGAAGTTATCGTGGACGTCAATCTCGCTTCTGCACAAACCAAAGCGCGACAAGGTTCAGACCATAATATTTGCTTCTGACCTTGAACCCCACGCTCCAATCGCGATGTTCCTTTGCGGTAAATTCACAGGCGGAGTCTGCTCAGCAGAAAGGTTCCAACTCCAGCATGTCTCCATGTCCTCAACGTCCAGTCACGGTTTTGCCTGTTTTTGTACGGTCAAAAGCGGTTAAGATAGAAAATCCGAGCTGTACCGAATACTCACCAGCTAAACCGCACTGAACGTATCCCATACACTTCCACCAAAGTGCTGCTCCTGATCCCAATGTGCAAACGTCCCGACCGTTGCTCTTCCCTAGAACCCACCACAGGAGGGCAAGCATTCTAGGCTACCGCTTACCCGTCATAACTTCTTTTGCATCTGTCTTTCACATGGCCAGCGTGGTCGGCGGAATCCGGCGGCCTGCTCGTGTCCTTGTTGTTTCGTTCTCAGAGGTTCTGGTGGTTACCACTTGTACGGACTGTTCGCTAGGCCATATTTCAATATACGCGGTATTTGCATCCGCAATGAGTTATGCTAACTTGGATTTCTCTTAACTGTGACTTATCAACAAGACATGGAGCAGACACGCGTCTTCGGTTTGCCTCTTTCCAAAGCACTAGCAGTGTAAAGTAGAAACAGGATTTGTTCTATTGGGCAAATCAGGACGCTACATATTCGACGCTATAAAGCACCCGCTGTTTTAAGAACAAGCTTTAGCAGCATTAGGTTCACTCACTAGACAGCCATGGCTGCCAGCGTAATCCATGTCGCTAACGCGAGGGAGCTAGTGCGAGAGGTAGAGGCTCTTTTCCCGAAATTGGACCCTCAGACGGACTGGGATGCTCGCATGGCCGCCCTGAAGCGCCTTGAGGGCCTCTTCCGAGGCGGTACGTGCTCTCCACGCACAGCTTAAAGTAGCGTCAAGTGTGAGAATTTGGTGTCCCACACGAAGCATGGTTCAGAGATTCTCGTCATAAAGTCGTACCACTCAAAGTTCGGGGTTGGATTCAACACTCATTTTAGACTTTGATTTTCATATGCCGCAATTCCAGAATTCCAGACACCCGCCGTAGTGACAACCATTGTGATTTTCGTGTAGCTTCCTGAACTTTAGTTCTGTCCTTACCTGCTCAAAATACTGCTTCATCCCATTTGGTAGTCTGTGCGTCGTCCGTACAATCTTGCAAACACTATTTGGCCTCGTGCCTTCCCTTGGTTTTGGTTCCCGATGCCCTGATTATCTGATCTCAGCCGCACGAACTGGAGTAACGGGAATATCGGCTCTGCTCCGGCAGCTGGTCATACCGCATCTTGCCGTTCAACTCCAAGATGGCCGGTCGAAAATCATCAAGCAGGTAAACTAGACGGTCAGTCCAAGATCGTCCAGCAGGTAACCTGACGGCCGGTCCAAGATCCTCCATGTGGGACGGCCGAGTACGGGTTTGTCAAGCAGGTAACCTGACGGTCGATTTTCGTGGAGCAGGTAACTAAATGACCAGCAGTAGTGGTTTAGGCCACTCGCAGCTAGTGCGTGGTTCGCCGTTTGGAATTCCGAAGCATTATAGAAGGTCGGCAGAAAACTCTTGATGCCAACCTGCCGTCGCGGGCGAATAATAGGGTAGATGCGTGACAAAACAGAGTACCGGGGTGGAACTTGGAGTTTTAAGTTGCACGTGCGTGTTTCTGATTGCACGTGCGTGTCTCTGACTGCACACGTGTTTGTTTCTGATTGCAGGCGTGCAACCTCGTGTCAGCAATCGCTGAGTGCCTGTCCGGGGAGTTCGAAGCATGCGCGGATATCGTGCTTCAGGTCAGTGATCTTCCCTGTCATCACGCATTTCCCCACCCAGCTAACACGTGCCCGTCAAGTCCTGTGTCGGACAAATCATAGATCATGTGTCATCGCCAAACCCTAACATGCTCCCCATGTCACCCGTCTCCTTCCCCTAGCCACCCATCAGGAGCTACTGAAGCGCTTCAGATCGGTGATCTGCTCCTGATTTGAATACTCCTCTCAGACACCCCCTAACCTACTACTTCCCGTGCTCTGTCTCCCACCCTCATCCACCCACCAAGGGCTGATGAAGCTCCTGGGGTTGGTCATCCGCACATGATTATGAGACCTCAAAAACCTAACCTGCTCCTCCCCATGTTCTGTACCTCTTAACCCCCCTCCGCCACCCTCCTCCACCCACCACGAGCCGATGAAGCTCCTGGGGTCAGTCGTCCGCTCCCATTTTTAAACCCCTTCAAGACCAAACCGTAACCTGCTCCTCCTGATGTTGCCTGTCTTCCTTCCCACTCCACCGTCCCCCTCCGTTACGCTTCTGCTCCTGGGGTCGGTCGTCCACCTCATTATTAAGATCCCTTCCAGACCAAACCCTAACCTGCCCCTCCCCATTTTGTCTGCCTTCCGTCCCCCCTTCGCCACCCTCCTCTGGCCACCAGGAATTGATGAAGCTCCTGGGATCGTCCGCTGCTATTATGGCCGACTCAGCAGATTCCACCATCCGCATTGTGAGTCCTTTTGAGAGGCGCCACAGAACGAGACTCCTCCACCATCCGCATCGTGCCTCGTGAGTATGTCTGAGGTACCCCAGAGAGCGCTCCTGTTATGGCCCACACTTCAGACTCCCCCATCCGCATTGTGAGTACTTTTGAGGCGCCTCAGAAAACGCGCCTGTTATGGTTGACTCCTCGCCCCTGTGTTGTGTCACCTCCATCTCGTGCTATCTCTCTCTATCGCTCTGCTCTAATCTCCCCTCCCTGTCCCCATCCCCATCCCCGTCCCCGTCCCCGTCCCCGTCCCCGTCCCCGTCCCCGTCCCCGTCCCCGTCCCCGTCCCCGTCCCCGTCCCCGTCCCCGTCCCCGCCCCCGTCCTCTTGCCTTCCCCTTCCGTGCCTCCGTCCCTTCGTTATCCCTATCCCCATGATGCGCGCTGCACGCTGGGCATTGTCCTGAACACATCCTCTAGTTCGTTCTGTTGTGTTGCATTCTTACCGTTTTGTTTCTGTGTTTTGTTTCTACCTTGCCCGTTCAACCCAATTGTCCTATCAGGTGGTGATCCGCTGCAGGCCTGCCCGCACGCTGAGCAAGGTGTTGGAGACAGCTCGGGCATCAAAGAGCACGGTTCTGAGAAGCAGGTGGGTGTATAGAGCACAGTCTTGCGAAGCAGGTGCGTGTGGGTTTGGCTTATACAATGGTGAGGGGCCGAGCATGGGCAGCAAGGTGTTTGAGACAGCAGGTGGGTACAATGCGGTATGCAGTGAGAAAATTTACTGTAACGTATTTATGCGGGATGGAGGGTAGGGGGTGTTGTCTGCGTTGAGCAAGGTGTTTGAGACGGCCTGGGCGTCAAAAGGCACAGTCGTGTGAGGAACAGGTGGGTGTGGGTTTGACTCATTTCGTGTCGATTTGGACAGGGGTAGGGCTATGGGGTAGGTCTTCTGACCTAACTCTCAGTGAGCAGCAAACCTCCCGTTTCATGTCGATCTGGATAGGGGTACGGCTATGGGGTAGGGGAAGGGGAAAGGGAAGGGGAAGGGCAATAGGCGATGGGAAGGTTAGGGGGAGGTGCACTGTAAGAAAAGTTTTTGTAACATCGTTCAGAGCTCTTAGAATATGCTGGCATGCCCTGTTACTTGACCCCTGCACCAACATAGGTCAAGACGCTCGTGACGCTTTCTGTATCCGTTCTCCTCTTCTTTTCCATCTCCCCTCCTCCTCCTTTTCTCCCAAGTGTGCGGAGTATGTGTGTGCTGCTGGCGCTGGAGGTGTGGGGCCCATAGGGCGAGCTGGCTTGATCGTTCCCCTATTCCACTCATACCTCCCATTTCGCTGCCTCTTCCCCATGCCAGGTGTGCGGAGTATGTGCTGCTGGCGCTGGAGGTGTGGGGCCCACAGGGCGAGCTGGTGGCGCTGGTGGATGCGATTGAGAGCAGCATTCGCAGCGGCGTGCAGGATGGCACGCGGGAGGTGAGCGGATAGCACGAGGGAGGTGAGAGAGGGATATGAGATGGGTGAGCAGGAGAGGCGAGAGGATGGGACGAGGGAGGAGAGCAGTAAGAGGTGAACCAGGGGTAGGAGGCATAGCTGTGGAATGAGGAAAGGCAATTCACGCATGCACGTTCATATGCAACCTCCCTCGCCCCACGTTCATATGCAACCTCCCTCGCCCCACGTTCATATGCAACCTCCCTCGCCCCACTTTCATATGCAACCTCCCTCGCCCCACGTTCATATGCAACCTCCCTCGCCCCACGTTCATATGCAACCTCCCTCGCCCCACGTTCATATGCAACCTCCCTCGCCCCACGTTCATATGCAACCTCCCTCGCCCCACGTTCATATGCAACCTCCCTCGCCCCACGTTCATATGCAACCTCCCTCGCCCCACGTTCATATGCAACCTCACTCGCCCCACGTTCATTTGCAACCTCCCTCGCCCCACGTTCATTTGCAACCTCCCTCGCCCCACGTTCATTTGCAACCTCCCTCGCCCCACGTTCATATGCAACCTCCCTCGCCCCACGTTCATTTGCAACCTCCCTCGCCCCACGTTCATTTGCAGCCTCCCTCGCCCCACGTTCATTTGCAGCCTCCCTCGCCCCACGTTCATTTGCAGCCTCCCTCGCCCCACGTTCATATGCAGCCTCCCTCGCCCCACGTTCATTTGCAGCCTCCCTCGCCCCACGTTCATTTGCAGCCTCCCTCGCCCCACGTTCATTTGCAGCCTCCCTCGCCCCACGTTCATTTGCAGCCTCCCTCGCCCCACGTTCATTTGCAACCTCCCTCGCCCCACGTTCATTTGCAGCCTCCCTCGCCCCACGTTCATTTGCAACCTCCCTCGCCCCACGTTCATTTGCAACCTCCCTCGCCCCACGTTCATATGCAACCTCCCTCGCCCCACGTTCATTTGCAACCTCCCTCGCCCCACGTTCATTTGCAGCCTCCCTCGCCCCACGTTCATTTGCAGCCTCCCTCGCCCCACGTTCATTTGCAGCCTCCCTCGCCCCACGTTCATTTGCAGCCTCCCTCGCCCCACGTTCATTTGCAGCCTCCCTCGCCCCACGTTCATTTGCAGCCTCCCTCGCCCCACGTTCATTTGCAGCCTCCCTCGCTCCACGTTCATTTGCAGCCTCCCTCGCCCCACGTTCATTTGCAGCCTCCCTCGCTCCACGTTCATTTGCAGCCTCCCTCGCCCCACGTTCATTTGCAGCCTCCCTCGCCCCACGTTCATTTGCAGCCTCCCTCGCCCCACGTTCATTTGCAGCCTCCCTCGCCCCACGTTCATTTGCAGCCTCCCTCGCCCCACGTTCATTTGCAGCCTCCCTCGCCCCACGTTCATTTGCAGCCTCCCTCGCCCCACGTTCATTTGCAGCCTCCCTCGCCCCACGTTCATTTGCAGCCTCCCTCGCCCCACGTTCATTTGCAGCCTCCCTCGCCCCACGTTCATTTGCAGCCTCCCTCGCCCCACGTTCATTTGCAGCCTCCCTCGCCCCACGTTCATTTGCAGCCTCCCTCGCCCCACGTTCATTTGCAGCCTCCCTCGCCCCACGTTCATTTGCAGCCTCCCTCGCCCCACGTTCATTTGCAGCCTCCCTCGCCCCACGTTCATTTGCAGCCTCCCTCGCCCACGTTCATTTGCAGCCTCCCTCGCCCACGTTCATTTGCAGCCTCCCTCGCCCCACGTTCATTTGCAGCCTCCCTCGCCCCACGTTCATTTGCAGCCTCCCTCGCCCCACGTTCATTTGCAGCCTCCCTCGCCCCACGTTCATTTGCAGTCCTCCCTCGCCCCACGTTCATTTGCAGCCTCCCTCGCCCCACGTTCATTTGCAGCCTCCCTCGCCCCACGTTCATTTGCAGCCTCCCTCGCCCCACGTTCATTTGCAGCCTTCCCTCGCCCCACGTTCATTTGCAGCCTCCCTCGCCCCACGTTCATTTGCAGCCTCCCTCGCCCCACGTTCATTTGCAGCCTCCCTCGCCCCACGTTCATTTGCAGCCTCCCTCGCCCCACGTTCATTTGCAGCCTCCCTCGCCCCACGTTCATTTGCAGCCTCCCTCGCCCCACGTTCATTTGCAGCCTCCCTCGCCCCACGTTCATTTGCAGCCTCCCTCGCCCCACGTTCATTTGCAGCCTCCCTCGCCCCACGTTCATTTGCAGCCTCCCTCGCCCCACGTTCATTTGCAGCCTCCCTCGCCCCACGTTCATTTGCAGCCTCCCTCGCCCCACGTTCATTTGCAGCCTCCCTCGCCCCACGTTCATTTGCAGCCTCCCTCGCCCCACGTTCATTTGCAGCCTCCCTCGCCCCACGTTCATTTGCAGCCTCCCTCGCCCCACGTTCATTTGCAGCCTCCCTCGCCCCACGTTCATTTGCAGCCTCCCTCGCCCCACGTTCATTTGCAGCCTCCCTCGCCCCACGTTCATTTGCAGCCTCCCTCGCCCCACGTTCATTTGCAGCCTCCCTCGCCCCACGTTCATTTGCAGCCTCCCTCGCCCCACGTTCATTTGCAGCCTCCCTCGCCCCACGTTCATTTGCAGCCTCCCTCGCCCCACGTTCATTTGCAGCCTCCCTCGCCCCACGTTCATTTGCAGCCTCCCTCGCCCCACGTTCATTTGCAGCCTCCCTCGCCCCACGTTCATTTGCAGCCTCCCTCGCTCCACGTTCATTTGCAGCCTCCCTCGCTCCACGTTCATTTGCAGCCTCCCTCGCTCCACGTTCATTTGCAGCCTCCCTCGCTCCACGTTCATTTGCAGCCTCCCTCGCTCCACGTTCATTTGCAGCCTCCCTCGCTCCACGTTCATTTGCAGCCTCCCTCGCTCCACGTTCATTTGCAGCCTCCCTCGCTCCACGTTCATTTGCAGCCTCCCTCGCCCCACGTTCATTTGCAGCCTCCCTCGCCCCACGTTCATATGCAGCCTCCCTCGCCCCACGTTCATTTGCAGCCTCCCTCGCCCCACGTTCATTTGCAGCCTCCCTCGCCCCACGTTCATTTGCAGCCTCCCTCGCCCCACGTTCATTTGCAGCCTCCCTCGCCCCACGTTCATTTGCAGCCTCCCTCGCCCCACGTTCATTTGCAGCCTCCCTCGCCCCACGTTCATTTGCAGCCTCCCTCGCCCCACGTTCATTTGCAGCCTCCCTCGCCCCACGTTCATTTGCAGCCTCCCTCGCCCCACGTTCATTTGCAGCCTCCCTCGCCCCACGTTCATTTGCAGCCTCCCTCGCCCCACGTTCATTTGCAGCCTCCCTCGCCCCACGTTCATTTGCAGCCTCCCTCGCTCCACGTTCATTTGCAGCCTCCCTCGCTCCACGTTCATTTGCAGCCTCCCTCGCTCCACGTTCATTTGCAGCCTCCCTCGCTCCATGTTCATTTGCAGCCTCCCTCGCTCCACGTTCATTTGCAGCCTCCCTCGCTCCACGTTCATTTGCAGCCTCCCTCGCTCCACGTTCATTTGCAGCCTCCCTCGCCCCACGTTCATTTGCAGCCTCCCTCGCCCCACGTTCATTTGCAGCCTCCCTCGCCCCACGTTCATTTGCAGCCTCCCTCGCCCCACGTTCATTTGCAGCCTCCCTCGCCCCACGTTCATTTGCAGCCTCCCTCGCCCCACGTTCATTTGCAGCCTCCCTCGCCCCACGTTCATTTGCAGCCTCCCTCGCCCCACGTTCATTTGCAGCCTCCCTCGCCCCACGTTCATTTGCAGCCTCCCTCGCCCCACGTTCATTTGCAGCCTCCCTCGCTCCACGTTCATTTGCAGCCTCCCTCGCTCCACGTTCATTTGCAGCCTCCCTCGCTCCACGTTCATTTGCAGCCTCCCTCGCTCCACGTTCATTTGCAGCCTCCCTCGCTCCACGTTCATTTGCAGCCTCCCTCGCTCCACGTTCATTTGCAGCCTCCCTCGCTCCACGTTCATTTGCAGCCTCCCTCGCTCCACGTTCATTTGCAGCCTCCCTCGCCCCACGTTCATTTGCAGCCTCCCTCGCCCCACGTTCATATGCAGCCTCCCTCGCCCCACGTTCATTTGCAGCCTCCCTCGCCCCACGTTCATTTGCAGCCTCCCTCGCCCCACGTTCATTTGCAGCCTCCCTCGCCCCACGTTCATTTGCAGCCTCCCTCGCCCCACGTTCATTTGCAGCCTCCCTCGCCCCACGTTCATTTGCAGCCTCCCTCGCCCCACGTTCATTTGCAGCCTCCCTCGCCCCACGTTCATTTGCAGTCTCCCTCGCCCCACGTTCATTTGCAGCCTCCCTCGCCCCACGTTCATTTGCAGCCTCCCTCGCCCCACGTTCATTTGCAGCCTCCCTCGCCCCACGTTCATTTGCAGCCTTCCTCGCCCCACGTTCATTTGCAGCCTCCCTCGCCCCACGTTCATTTGCAGCCTCCCTCGCCCCACGTGCATTTGCAGCCTCCCTCGCCCCACGTTCATTTGCAGCCTCCCTCGCCCCACGTTCATTTGCAGCCTCCCTCGCCCCACGTTCATTTGCAGCCTCCCTCGCCCCACGTTCATTTGCAGTCTCCCTCGCCCCACGTTCATTTGCAGCCTCCCTCGCCCCACGTTCATTTGCAGCCTCCCTCGCCCCACGTTCATTTGCAGCCTCCCTCGCCCCACGTTCATTTGCAGCCTTCCTCGCCCCACGTTCATTTGCAGCCTCCCTCGCCCCACGTTCATTTGCAGCCTCCCTCGCCCCACGTGCATTTGCAGCCTCCCTCGCCCCACGTTCATTTGCAGCCTCCCTCGCCCCACGTTCATTTGCAGCCTCCCTCGCCCCACGTTCATTTGCAGCCTCCCTCGCCCCACGTTCATTTGCAGCCTCCCTCGCCCCACGTTCATTTGCAGCCTCCCTCGCCCCACGTTCATTTGCAGCCTCCCTCGCCCCACGTTCATTTGCAGCCTCCCTCGCCCCACGTTCATTTGCAGCCTCCCTCGCCCCACGTTCATTTGCAGCCTCCCTCGCCCCACGTTCATTTGCAGCCTC